TCCCAGGCCCCTTGGGAATAGTAAACATATTCATTCCATGTAGTTAAACTGCAACTTCTTGAATGCCCTTGTGTGATTTGGGTGAGAGAGGACGGATAGGGTATGTAAAGGCATGTTCACGTCGTGCTGAAATGAAACTGTGGCCTATTTTAATCGAGCCATGGTACAGTTGTAAAGTCTGGGGCGAGTCTGTAGGAAGTGGGAAGGACTCCTGCCAAGGTACACCACAGATGTGCACTCATACAGCACGCTGCCTTATTTTTATCAGTCATGTGTAAACACACAGGCCATTAGCAACTGAAAAACATGGAAAAATTTGTTCTGCATTGTGCACTAAAAAATAAACTACAAGTGGTTCCACATCTTGGGTTCATCTTAGGTTCACTGAAGTATGTATCATCTAGTATCAACTGAGAAGAGAAAGCTCAAGCATCTTGTCAGTCCACTGGACATTCAAAGGTTCAAGGTAATCTGGGAAAAAGAGAGTTTCTCTAGCAACTCCAAGAGCTCCTGAGGCAAGAATCTCTGAAATCACATCAAGAAGAAGGAAACAAACAGGTTCAGTTTGCCCCCAAAACAGAATGTCACTATCTGAATCTAAACTATTATTTGAACATCACACATAATCTGATGAATCATTTCTTGGCTAGTAATGGTTAACTTTACTCATAGTTATCACTTCTGAATCTCTAAAGCAATATTTCTGAAATTATTTTTAAGAAAGCTACATCACTTTTTACACTATTTCAAAAAAGCACAGCATTTCAAATAGAGTAATATTCACAATTTTCACCTCCCTCAATTATAAAACCACACCAAGAGCAAAAACAGAACTATTCTCAGGTCATTCTTTAATTAATTAGTAATAATTATGAATATTATATACAAATCATTATGCTAAACATGGAAGATAAAAATCCTACTAATAAGAAATTTATAGTTAAGTTGAAAGATAAGAGATATGCACATATAATGACAATATGAAACAAAAAGAAGTAAGTGTCCAAGGAAAGGAAGCAAGCAAGCACTACAAGATTTCAAAGAAGTCCTCACTATAAAGGACATTATTGGAACAAATGGCAAAACTTGACTGAGCTCTGAGGATTAGACGGTAGTAATAGATCAGTGTTAATTTTATGATGTCAATGGTTGTATTATGGTTAAGTGTGTGCTTGTTTGTAAATTACCCTCAATCCTAATCCAGTCTTAGAGACAATCATTTGCAGTTTGACAATCACAGTTCTTTGAGATTCTATGTCCGCATTTATTTTTATTTTAAAAAAAAGCATAATGGTATTGAATGGTCTAGAAAACTCTTTTTACATTCGATGGTGACAAAAAGTTCATGCTGTTGTTATGAATTATCAGAAACCCTATTTAGATATGAGGAAACTGATACCAAAGAACAAAATAACTTATCAAAAGCATGTGTCTATTAAACTGTGGTGCTGGAAGCTGAACAAAGCTCTTCTGGCTTTTTTATCCCATGCTCTTCCCACCACATAGCGCTGTCTCAGCTCCTCCTGAAGGGCTCTGCTCAGCTGTCACTGTGAGTCAGGAAATTCTGTGCTGAAGAGCACAGTCCATAGAGGAGGTGACGGGGTGTCAACCCAGCTCTGAGCTGTGAGAACACGTCTCAGTTTCCTCTTTTCACAAAAGGATTAGACAACAATAGCACTCCTCACAAGTCCGAGGGGAAGCACGGAGAGGATGAAAATGAATTCATACCTACAAAGCACTGAGAATGTGCATGGGCGCACAAGAAACATTAAATTATTATCATCTCTACAAATTCAGATACCCTGATCTATAAACGATCACAGCTCTTTTAGGAACTTAAAACAACGGGAATGAAGAAATTTGAACAAATGCATTTTTTACTAATAGGAAATATGTATTTCAATTCTCTCTTAATTTAGGGGGAGTTCCTTGCTTTGTTAGAGGACTATTCATCAACTCACAGCGGAAGACTTCATCTCCCACTGTTATGCTTATCACCCAAAAAAATCACAGATTTTGCCTCAGCATTTATCCTTAGAAAACTCAAGAGCCTTATGTGCAAACAGGTCCCTAGGAGCCTGTCCTTAACGATCTAGAATTCTTAAAATAGGTAAACATTTTAAATTCTCCTTCACCCTATTCAAAGTGTCAATTGTTATGCTTATCATCACTTTTGATACATAGCAGGTTACAATAAATGATGCCTGGGCTACCAGACCCCATTGGAACGAACTACTAATTATTTTGCACATGAAATCTTAAGTTATTACCAAGAAGTGTGGGAATTAATAAAAGAAACCTTAACTAAATTGGAGTTGTCGGGAAGGCCTGTAGGGGGAGCTCTCAGGGCCTGTCACACATCATCAGTTACACCAAACAGAAAGAGATGGACATTTGGATCTTGGACAGGAAGTAAAACTACTTTACTACTAAAGGAAGACTTCTCTCCCCACCTGGCAACAGCCCAGCCAACGAGAAATGCCACAGCCCAGCCAAGGAGAAACGCCACAGCTCAGCCAACGAGAAGCCATTGGCGCTCTGAACTCTTACTTTCCCCCACTGAGTTTCATTTAGAGCAGCCTCTCTCTATTCCCCTTTTCTCTTTAAAGGCAGCTCCCCTCCTTTCTTTTCCAGATTAGCCCATGGTGTACCCATAGCATGCACATCCACACATCCCAAATTGCAATTCTTTGGGCTATTTCCAAATAAACTCATTTTGAGATAAAATAAGAGGCAAATTTGTTATTAAGTTGATAGAAGTAAAAATAGCACAAATAAGTGTTCAATATAGATCCTTATCCACAATGGGTATCAATCATTCCGAATAGGCAAAAAGTATCTGAAAACTATAGATTCATTAATTCATGTAAACATTCACTTAACATCTACTGAATACTTCCTATGTGCCCAACACTACCAAATTCTAAGTGCTGGGGAATATTGCCATGGATAAAACAAACATTTCTGCCTTCTTTGGACTTGTACTTTAGTGGATATGAATCAGGAATTAGCATGAGTTCTACTTGTATAAAAGGTACATACAATTATCTATCATTCATAATGGATTCTTTAAGTTCCTCTACTGAAGATGGCTATCAAGAAATCTAGCCTATTATTACCTGAACTAATATTACTGTGAACCACCTCCACCAAAAAATTGTTCTCCTGACACAATGAAAGCCTGACCCATCAAAGTTTAACAACATCAAGAATATAAAGAAAACCACAAATTTAACTAGTGCCGGCTAGTACTTGGTTCCACTTTCATGGAGTATGACAATAAGAAATTCTGGGTAGCTATCTAGTCTGTCCAGAGTCAGAAACTTATACTCTATGAAATTAATTTACTTTGAAAGGCTAAAAACTTCCAAATAAAATATTCTAAATCACTGTAAAATAAATTTCCATCATAAATATGGCCGTCCCCGATGTTGTATATTTTTTCTGTATATGTTTCTGCATATGGATATACTAGGTGAAAATAAGCCATTCATGTGTCTTCATGTAATATACATACACACAAATGGACACACACATACATATATTATGTAATCCATAAACACATGTATAATGTATACACAAGATAAACAGTTCCACATACACCGACATCTCACATCATTACGATCTGTTGAAGAAATTACTTTCCCTGGTATTTCCTCATTTCTCCCATATGGCTCTTCTGGTTGGGAAAGGGTTGGGAAGAAAGATTCAAGAGAAATGAAACCTCTACCTTTAAATGGTTATGTTTTAAATATCTATTTCACTGGGACACTAATATACTAAATACATAATTTATTTTCTCCAGTTTTCCATCTTGTACAGAGAACCACATAATAAACATTCAAACCTTCCCTCTCAGTCCTCATTAGCGACTTAGTGGAACTGAGTGCCTGTGCTCACAATGCCGACTGGGTACCGACTCTACACCTGATGGATAGATTCCTGCGAGGCGTCATGAGAAATATTCTCTCTTACAAAGGTCTCAGTCTCACAGGGCACACCACATACACACAGGTTTAAAAAGTACCAAATTCCAGAGTGGACAAGCAGGTCAAACACACTGTCCTCGAGGGGGTGCTCAGGGAAGAGACAGTCTGCATCCACCACATACGTCTCCCAGAGCCAGAAATTCTTTGATGTGGCACAGAAAAGTCAAAGACTAACTAAGGCCACACCTCAAAGAGCACAGATGTTTAAATATCAGGCAGATCAGAAGCAAGTGCAGAAACAAAATGAAAAAAGAACCCAAACATATTAGAGAAAAAACAGGGCCACAGTGAGGTTTTCTCCAAGATATCATGAAAAGCACTGAAAAGAGAATTGCTTTCTTACTGTGTGGGTCAACGCTATTTAATACCATGCCCCAGATGAAACCATTTCACACACCACTGCACACTGCGCTTCCCAAGGGCACGGACCACACCACACTATGGTCACTCTCCTCTAGCACCTTACTCCCTTTTCCTGCCAACTTCTTAAGGAAAAGTGCTCCTAGATGAAGGCCTGAATGGCCTGCCACTTAGTGAAGTCAACTATGGCAGTTTAGAGAAATGGAGCCAGAAGGAATTAAAACCCAGTGACATCACCACATTACCTGTGTGACCTTGAGTGAGTCATTTAACCTCTCCATATCTAAGTTTCCTGACAGGTAGAATGGAGATAATAATAGCTTCCACGTGAGGATTAAATGAGTTGGTGTATAGAACAACACTCCACTCACATTAACCTCCACATAAGTACTGACTGTATTTCAAAAGAAGGAACATGGATGACCTCACATGCAACATGTTTTGAATCACAATCTTTAAAACTATGAGACCACACATTTGTTCTATATGTTCCTAGAAAGTATTGTAACAAATCCATACTTACATAAATTCAGCACTTCCAGATCCAATCTCCTCAGAGGACATTAAAGCAACAGGCATAGCTGTGTTGTACATTGACAAGTATTGTGTATGTATTATATACTTGCATATAAAATTCCTTCTATTACTCACATTCTCATAGAGAGCTTGAAGGGTCTCCAGGTCAACCACAGAATTGTCCAAGTTCACAACAGCTGCGGAAAAAAGACAAAAGAAAGAATATAAATTGCCATAAGCCAGCCGTGAAAAAACGTTTGACCATCTCAAACACTAGTGACCACCTCCAGCATGGTGCTCACGAGCCAGCAGGCAGAGGGTGCAGGGGCTCCACCTTCAATGCATCCACTTGCCCCACTACCAAGATGGCGCCCTAGGAAGCTTACTGGAGCCAGTGGCCAGTGTTAAAGCTCTCGCTTGCTCCACAGATGCGCAGTTCCATGAATATGGCCCAAAGGTCAAAGAGAAACTGTGAGTCTGTCTTTCATGGCCCAACTGAATAAATCTGAAAAATCTGCTTAATGCCAGAAAAATAGGCAAATCACTCATGTTATTGCCACATCCTAGTTTTATATCCATAAATGCTCATGTCCGCCAATTTATCTAAAGACACTTGACAAAGGCTAAATCTAGTCACTAACCTGGTGGATTTAGTATAATAACAGGAAATGCATCTATCGTTTCAACTCCTTAAAGTGCTATAATCTAGGGACAATTCTTTGATTATGGTGTTATTAGCACAGATGCATCCTTAGAAATCCATCCATAATATACAAACTAACCATGCTCAAACAACAAAGAGGGAGAACGGATAATCGAAAACTGGCAATATCTTCTCAAATGCATTTCTTGGCCCAGGAAATGTACTGAATTCTGGAGCCGGTGTGTTTTATTACTTAGTTTGGCATAGGTTAGTCAAAGCATTCTGCATTACCCATGTGCATGTCAGCTAGAAATGAGATGAATTTGCCCCGAACAGATTTCTGCCAAGTAGCCAGTAGGATTAAAGATTTCTGGGAGAATATCACAAAGTAGATAACCACAAATTGGCTAGATTTATTTTGATAATTGAGGCACTTTACGATGTCTTTTTTTCAACACAAAGTACACGAGACATTTTCTAGTCGACTCTGGCAAAATCCCAAGAAAGAATCAGGAAAGATGAGCAAAATGGAGGCAAAAGATGGACAGGAAATCTAACTCGGATAATTTAGCATTTCTACTTGAAGATGGGAACAGAGCTCAGATTCACCAACAAATATTATACCAAGTAGAATATGATACTTCCGCCCTAATAATATTCCACTATCTCAAAAACAAAATTAGGTCTCAAATATAAATCTAAGGATCTGATTCAGATTCATAGACAAATCTTTTTACTCCTTAACCATGTAAGGCAAACATATCACAAACCGTTTAATGTTTCACAGTACTAAAAGCATAGCCTGACTCACTCTGACTATATTTCAAAAATTAATTAAAAGAGATTAACAAATGATTTCCACTGGAGGTAATATGGCTATAAATAATGTAACAAAACGCATAAAACCAAAATAAAGATAGCAAATTCATGTATGGAATTACCCTCTATACATTTGTGCAGAGTCTAGCCCTTAAAGAAAATCTTACAATGAACCCAAAGGTCTCTGACTTCGAATTCATTAGCTAATAATCCAGTATTTCTACATTCCTCTGATGACACAGCGAGAAATTGATTGGAAAACTATGAAGGAAATGCCAGTAGTCAACATAGTGTAAGATTTCATTCTCAGAACAAGGAAAAGAAACACAATAAAATCATTCATGCTCAAGTCAAAGCTCATAAAAGACACAATTGCCCTCTGACTTTATCCATCATTTTAAAACATAATATTATTTCTACAAGTTTTCCCAACACGAAACTTTACTTGTGAACATACTGCGGTTTCTTATCTTTTTATCTCATCAACGTCAGCTCCTAAAGAATATCTTAATAAATGTCATACAATCCTAAGCAAGTCCTCAAAACGTCTTAATCTATAAAATCTCATTTTTTAATCATCCACAGAAATCTTCAACAGAAAGCAACACTATTACTACGCCTCCACACAATTTCCTCTTAATCGGATTCACAGTTAAGAGATGCTAACACAATGCAGTGGGAATCCGCGGTTTTGAGGGAATAATACAGTCATGCTTCAGTAGCTGAAAAGAAAGGAAGATTAGATCCTGGCAGACAGAGGGATGCAATGACAGGAGTTCTAGATAAGAAATAGAAGTAGAAGATGTAAGTGGGGAAAGGTTAAGCCTATTGAGGGGCAACATTTCCTCAATTTGAAACGCACATTTCAACATTTCAGACGCCAGAACTGAGACTAAAATTCATATACTACCAAATTTCTAGTAGTGTTTTCTATCGCTCCCTCCCTTAAAATCTGTGATGAGATTGACAGTGCATTTTCAGCAAAGGATCTGGCGCGTGGTTGGTTAATGTCATTTCCCATGCCAGCTCTCACAAAAGTTCAACTCCTCTGGTTCTAATAACCCTTATTATCTAACCCAAAGTCAAACGTTTCTTTTTCTTCTATTTTTGTCCCAGTGCCCTCATGTACCAAAAAGAACAAATGCAACTGCATTTGTGACGGGCTGGCACCTTCCGTCTGAACGATGACTATCAGAACTAAATGTACATCCCGACAGACAGCTCTTGGGTGTTGTCCATACACTCTGCCTTCTCCGCTCAGCTTTGAAACTAATAAGCATGAGACTCAGATTTCAGAACATAAATAAATCCAAAGTTTGTAAGAATATTCAGTGATCAATCTTTAATTCAGATTACTTTATTCTCTAATACTCAACTAAGTGCGAATGTGATTTACACTTCAGGTTAGAGGCCAAATATTTCACACGCATTTCCTCCTCTTTGTTCTGGACCTTCAGGAACACCCATCATTGTCTGGGACTCATCACATTCCCACCCATCCATTCCCCTGCAGGCCTGTAAAGCAGTTTTAATTACTTTCCCATAAAATAGATATAAATAAATGTTACTTCAAATTTAACCAAGCAGCATCTGTTCTGTTTTTACGTGGAAGGGTGCAAGGACTGAGGAGATGTTAAGAGGAAACTCTGGTCTTCTTTGCACATTAAAAGATTATTCATTTATTTATAAAGTATGCTAACTTTCCAGGATTAAAACACAGAGAGATTTTTACTAGTCTCTTTAAACAACCGTAAACGACCATGTGTTAAGAATCCTCCAGGCCAAAATGGATAGCAACTTTATTTTTAAAGCTTTAAATTTTATAAAATGCCAATGACGTGATAAAGCAGAACACAGAACTCTTTCTGGCTTTTCTACCAACAGGCTGTGTGTCTTTGATCAAGATATAAGCTTCTCTGAGGCTTAATCAAGCGGGATAATAACTTTGTAGCACATATTTATCATGTGGAGAAAATGGTTTTTTAGTAAGAAGGATAATTCAAGAAGTCTTGAAACAATATATGTAATTAATTTTAAAATGTAAATTATCTGTGAACACGTTGGTTAGAAACTAGAGACAGAGCTGGGAATGTGCTAGATTAAAATTAGGTTCAAGATTAAATATTTGCTTTCAATAATTAAAAGTTGGGACCACAAATAGTTCTTTTCTTCATAAACTCCATTGGGACGCGCTCACTGAAACCCAATACCCTTTTAAGCCATGTCGTTGCAAAATGAAGAATGAAATAGCCTATTTTAGAAGTCAAATAGTCAATTTAATTTAACCTAAGATATTAAAAATGTCTCAAAATGTCCAATCAGGAAAAAAAAATCTACTTTCTTTTGATTTTAAGATATTGTATTTCATAAAAAGAATTACAAAAAGAGCAACTCAAAACGACCAAGGATTACAGCTCCAACGTAGGAAATGTTTGTGTGCTGGACACATGACATTGTGTACACGTGTATATGAGCAGGTGACAATCATATGTCTAGATCACATTCCCTGGACACATGGTCTTTGCTGCTAACGTGTTCTGCATAGCCGCCTTCTACGACACCAGACACATGGGTCATGTTTCTCGTTCTAACTTACCACAACATTAGATAACCCACAGACTAGAGCGTAAGGCAACATCCCTGTCTGAACGTGTGCAGGATAAAAAGAATCCTGTCTCCACTTTCAGTCACAGAATGGCACAGAAGGAAAAGGGCCATATTTTAAGAGCTTGTGTTAAAAGAAACTCATGTAAAACAAAACAAAAGTTCACAAAACATTATTAGCCCCGTTTATAAATGTTTCAAGTGTTTTGAGTAGCCAGACAAAGTAGTTCACTTTATTGGTATAATTCAATATGATGTGATCAGCCCCATTCAATGCGACAGTCTGAGCCACGGAACACTGTTAGTGCCTGCCTTACTCCAATCTTGATTTCCTTGTTAGTCTGGGGTCTCCTGGAAGGGACAAGAGTAGTGCTCTTGATGGCCTCTTCTCACCCTCAGCTCTGAACACTATCCCCGCCACTGTGGTCTCCTGCCTTAATCCCCCCTCCCTCCAATATGATCTGCTAAAGTGGAGGCAGAGACCCCCAAAAGAAAACCTCACAGTGTTTATTACCAGGTGTATTTGTTATCCATTTCCGCAGAGCAAAATGCACTAAAGCTTAGGGACTTAAAACAACAAACACAAATTATCTCACAGGTTCTGTGGGTCAGCAATCAGCTGGAGTCTAGCCAGGCATCTTTGCCTCATGGACTCTCACCGGCCTGCAGTCACGGTGTTGGCTGGGCTGCGGTCTCACCTGAAGGCTCCACAGGAGGATCCGTGCCCCATCTCACGTGGTTGTTGCCCGAATTCAGTTCCTCAGACCAAGGGCCTCAGCTCTTCACTGGCTGTTGGCTGGAAGCCTGCCTCAGTTTCTCCCTGGATGAGTCTCTCCATAGAGCAGCCCACGACAAGGCAGCTGGTTTCCCTCAGACTGAGAGAGGGCCATGCAAGACAGGGCCACCTTCCCTTTGTAACCTACTCTGGGAAGCGACATCCCACCACCTCTGTCATAGCCTATTCATCCTGAGTCTCTAGGTCCAGCCCACATACAAGGGGAGGAGATCACACACGAGTGCGACTACCAGGGGGCGGGGACCTTTGCAGGCCCTCCGAGAGGCTGCCCACCACGCCAGGTGGCTAACTCGTGGCTGTTTCTTCCTTGGACTTGAACTCTCCACTTGTGGCTC